AGAGTCAATGTCTCTCCATGATGGGCGAGCACGAGGCTTTTTATCAAGGCGGATGCGGAGGGTTTGTGCCGCGAACGCAAACACGAGGGACTACAGTACATGTTTGTCGGGTTCTTTTTTTGGACAATGTCTGAGATGGACGGCCCTTTTTTTCTTCTCTTTTCCGGTTTGCAGGAAAAAGGTCCGTTGGTTTGGGGGGCGTTTTGGAGGAGATTGTCATGTCTCACTGGGTTCAGTATTCGGTGCAATTTATTCTGATATTTGACAATTCACCTGGGCTGCACGGTGCCAGGGCCAACTACTCGAGAGGGACGCGACTCTCACAAAGGCAATGACATGGTGGCGGGAACAAAAAAGAAGCTCATGTCTCACGGATATTAATTGCCGTTGGGTTCTTCCACGCCACGTTTTCTTTGTGCAAAGTGCGTGACATCACGCTTGCTGTGCCGTTGGCCATTCTTGAGCCCCAGCGTCCTTTTCTGGGATCAGACAGAGGCATCCACGAGGGTCAACTGAGACCTTGTCCTGCTGGCAATCATGGCGAGTTCTCGTGTCTCTTCCTCGCACTGGCTGCTCCCGAGGCCTGCGTCACTGGACCCGGAGTACATGCGTATCAACTTGTATTCAAGCCGTGACAAAAGAAGCAAACACGGCCAGAGATGGGCCAAAAATAAACATTTCTTACGGTACGATTTGAAGGCGCATGATCTTTCGGCCAGGCATCACCTGTTGTCCTGGGCTTCTTCTTTTCTTTCTTTCTTTTCTTTTTTTTTTCTTTTTTTTTTTTAAAAAGAAAAAAAACTTGGCCTGCAGTGAGGCCGCCGAGTGAAGCCTTTGGGATGACGACATCAGACGACACACGTTTTCATGCTGCGGGCTACGACGACTTGATGTGTCCGTCTCTCTGTAACCAACCCGGAGCTTTTTGTTTGCCGCCGTACGTTGTCGCAGCGGCGCACCGAGAGCCCCGGGTTGAAATACGCAGCGCCGCGACGAGGCCCAAGTAGATGAAAACTCGCCACTGGCTTCCTTGTGCGGGACTGGAGGAATGCTTTGTCGTTATGTGACCACTTACCCAGTTCGGGGTGCTTTAGGTGGCGCTGCGAATCGTGGCCTGAAGGACACAGCTATTGATGGCGTTTTGGGGTCCCGGACGTTGGGCTTCATCTTGAAAGGGCCTTGGTTTACATCTCGTATCAAAGGCATTTATCAGTCTTGGATGTCGTGTGTAATGCTGGTTCCTGTACCCTGGGGATCCGGATCAGGTCGTGCCGTGTAATCCTCTGCCAAAGAGAGCGTCTCTGTCCAGCGTTGGATAGCCCAGCAACCAAGCCAACTGCTCCAACCAGCCTGCCGTGATCGCCAGCCGTCCCGTCCCGTCCCGTCCCGTCCAACCTGCAACCTGGCGCGGAGCAATCCTCCTCATTTGGGAAGCGAAGCCTGTGTGGGGAGGCAGATGACAAGTCTGGGGCGTTTCTGGGGCTGCTCCCTCTCCGGGCACCACGTCGCCGCGGATTGCGGCAAACCCACCATGCCACAGAATGGCAGTCTCCGTACGGAGGCTTGTTCCGATGAAGTGGCGAGAATCTAAGCGGGTGTACGGACTCGCGATTCATACGTTTTATTTCATGCGTGAAGACGGCAGTGATTTTCTCTCCACCCCCGCAGATTTCATACCCACAAGAAGTGCCAAGAAGTGCCAAGAAGTGCCAAGTGCCAAGTGCCAAGTGACAGGACAGGCAAGGCAGATTGACTTGAGCTTACAAAACCGAGCCAAGGTGCAACGTGGTCGAGCATAAAACACGAGACACTCACCACTCACTTACACAGAGAGTCGGCTGTTTTCTGCCACCCCTTGATAGGAGATAGGTTGCATAGTTGACCAAAAGTGTTCATGGTTCATCAGCCAAGACGTTGCCTGCGGTTGAACTAGAATGGAAAAAGGGACAATTGACGAACCAACATACTGTAGTTTCTTGGTTTGCCCCTGTCAAGCTGCTCCCATCCACAGCTCTGACAGCAACGTCAGCACATGTCAAACGGCTAAAGCGAGTCAAGCATGCAGGCAAAGACGAAAAAAACGCGGCCCGTAGTCAAACGCGGCTAAATCAGGTTACATCCCAACTTGACCTCACTCGCAGGTTAGTTCCTCCAACCCACCCCAGGTTCCCTTGAAAAAATAAAATAAAAATAAAAATAAACGCTGCCAGAGCTTCGAATATAAAGGGAAACCAATTCATACATCGAAACAAACCCCGTCATGTTGAGGAGGCCAGGGAAAAAAAAAGGCAACGTAGCATCCTTGATTTCTCACATATACCACCCCTTCATCTTTCTTGGAAAACCCGTCGAGTTGGCGGTCCCGAGTTCATCTTCCCATCCCATAACTCGGCTCATGGCACGAAGGCCCCCGTGTCCTGAGAAAAGGGGGGAACTCGAGGGCTCTCACGTCCCCGGCGTGCCGCAGTACGAGCCCCAAGAGCAGCGGAAATGGCTCGTCCTCGTCGTCGCGTGGATGACGACGCTGGCCGGCCTGGCCGTCATGGCACGCCTGTGGTGTCGACGCATACGCAGCCAGCCCCTCTGGTGGGACGACTACCTGATGATGTTTTCGACGGTAACGACCTCCTCCAAATCCCCGCCTTTCTCTTCTTAACCACGAGTCAAAGAAACTGACGGTTAAAAAAAAAAGGTCTGGAACTGGGCCGTCGTGGGCGTCGGATTCGCCATGTTCATCGAGGGCGTGGGCTACCACGCCGACGAGGTGGGCGAGCGCGCCGTCGCCAACATCTCCCGGTGGCTGCTCATCACGGAAATCATCTACGTGTGGAACCTGTGCTGGACCAAGCTCGGCCTGCTGTGCATGTACTACCGCATCTTCCGGTTCCCCCTGTTCAAGGGGCAGGTCGCGGGCGTGGGCGCCTTTGTCGTGCTCTGGGCCGTGTGCGTGTCCTTCCTCTTCACCTTCATCTGCGTGCCCGTCGAGAAGCTGTGGCGGCCGGCCATCGAGGGCCGCTGCGTCAGCGAGCTGGGCGTGTGGCTGGCCAACGCGAGTTCGACCATCTTCTCCGACGTCGTCATCTTGCTGCTGCCCATTCCGCAGGTCTGGAGGCTGCAGCTCAAGACGCTGGAAAAGGTTGGCCTGACGCTGGTGTTTGGCCTGGGCTTCTTGTAAGTTTTTTTTTGT